CTGCTGAGAAACTAGAGGGGCATGGAGGGGGTGACCCCTTGAGCAGCAGGGCCCTGGGGCACTGGGTGAAGGTCGCTTTGCACCCCCAGCCCTAGCTCACCTCCGAGGTGCCAGCGGCTTTGTTGGAGAGGGCTTCGCTCAGCGCCAGGGAGCTGGTGTTGACAGCGTGTGCCAGCTCCTGCTCCACGGCTTTGTGACCCTTGGCTGCTTCGTGGATCCTGCAGGCGAGAGGGGCTGGAGCTGCCAGGGCTCCCGCAGCACAGGACCAGGAGGCTGGAGCAGCTCCCCCCTCCCGTGCCCACCACAGCCCCCATCCTGCAGCCTGACCTGGCGATGAGGGTCTCGGCAACCTGTGAGACCTGCTGCAAGAGGCTGCTCTCCTCCTCAGTCAGGTACTCCATGGACTGCTGGGAACTGAGCCGTGGCCGGGCAGCCGCTCGGTAGCTCTCCCCCTTTTGCTTGTCCTCCCAGGACTTGAGGGTGCTTTCAAATGCCTGAGGGGGACGGAGATGGCCCCCCTCAGCCTGTCACACCTCCTCATGCCCCAGCACAGCCCTGCTGCACAGGCTGTGCAACCCCAAGCTCACCCGATCCCTTGTCAGCATCTGGGCTCGGTTCTTGTGCTGGATCTTGATGATGCCGGGCGGCTGGATCCAGGCTTCTCCATCAACCTGTACAGGGACACCCTCGTCCCCTCGGATGGTGATCTTCACCACGCGGCACTGTGGGGCAGATAATCTGGGGTTGGCATCACTGTGCTGGGGCTGAAAACCCCCCTCAGCACCATACATGTGGCAGCCATGAGCTCAGCTGAGCCACACTGCCCCAGGCTCTGCTCGTGCCCCAAAGGCTTCCTGGCACCACGCAGGGTCCTCTGCCCCTACCTGAGCAATGCGATGGTGCTGGAGGTTGATGACCCGTGACACAGCCATCTGGATGCTGCCAAAGACAGCCACCACTTCCAGCTTCTTGTCATCAAAGGATGGAGCCCCAAAGTTCTGTGAAGGACCAGTACAAGTGAGACCCCCCCCTAAACCAGGCTCATTTTGGGACCCAGCTTTTCCCCCTGTGTGTGCCCAAGGCAGGGACATCCCAGACCCCTGCCCAAGGGCTCGCCGGTTCCCTGGGAAGGACACGATATCCCCCTCCCCACCCCGCGGCACTACCACTCACATTGTCCTCCTTGGTGCCTCCCCAGAAGTTGATGCCCCCAGCATAGCTGGGGATGTTGAGGACAGCAATGCCCTGCAGGCTGGGCAGCGAGATGGGCACCCCGTCGCACTGCAGAAGAGAGGGCTAAGCCTGGGTGGCCACCATGCTCCCCCGAAGTGGGCTGGGTGTGAGGGACTGTGGGCCCTTCCTGCCTGCCACAGGCTCTGCACCCTCCCTGAGGCACTGGGCTGAGCTAGCCAGCCTGGACTCCTGGCCCTGCTCCTGCCTTGGTTTCCTCACTTCCAGAACAGAGGGGCTGCCTGCTGCCTTTCCCAGGAGATGCAGGATGCAGGATGCAGCACCCAGACACGCACCCTTCCACACCGGCACAGCAATGTCTCCTCTGTCCAGGTGCAGAGCGGGTAAATCCCACCAAGCCCTCCTGTGCCTGCTCACACACCCGGGGGCATCAGCAGCCAGACCCTCACAGCAACCCTCCCCCTTCCCGGGGGTATTTGCAGTCTGCTGCCCACCCAGGGGTGCTCACCGCAGCACCAGGTGCAGGAGAAAGCCTGCAGCAGGAAGGGGTCCCCAGCCAGGCACGGCAGCCCCAAGCCAACCCTGACAGTCCCTCCTGGTGCGGGCATTAGAGAGCCAGCGGGGTACATATTTTTCCCGGGGGAATCTGGGGGGGGTTTCAACCAACCTGCACTTCTTGGGGTGCTCATCCCGTTTGTTGTTGAACTCCAGGGAGATTTTCGCATCCAGGCCGATGCCAAAGTAGTTATTCATGACGCATTTCTCCAAGAAGTGGCTGAAAGCAGCAGATGGTGGGTGAGTTGGGAGGCAGCTGCACATGGGCAACCACTGGGCTGGGGTATAAAAGCTGCCAGAGCTGCGACGTGAGCTCCTGGAGGGGCTGGCACTGGGAAGCCCGACCCAAGCCAGCAGGGACGGCTGGAGCCCCCTCCATCCCCATGGTGGGACACTCGTGGCACACCCAGAACCTGCCTGCACTGGGCAGGGGGGGAGCCCCAAGCTCCCAGCACGAGCACAGTGCTGGCCAAGGGGCTGGCAGCAGGAGATCCCGCACCAGGCACATTCAGGCTTCCCCGGCACGAGCACTGCTGGACCAGGGAGGGCTGGGCACCAGGGATGCCACACTGGTGGGCAGAGGATGCCCCAGGGGCCATCTCCAAGAGGCAGCATCATTCCAGCTCTGCTTCCACTCCGTGATGGGCAGCAAGGGTGGGCCAGAGGCCCTGGGGCGGGCAGAACCCCAGACTCACAGGGCACTGGGGTCTTCGGGAAACTGCAAGCTACCAAAGGTGTCTGGCCGGTCCAGGATGATGGAGGAAGACGCGGAGGTCACCGTCTCCCGCCGGGAGCCTGGCCCAGGGGAAAAGGAGGCAGCTGCTGAACTTGCTCTTACCCTGAGCCCATCCCCCAGCTCACCCCTATGCACCCCCAAACAGTCACTTTCCCCACTGGCATCTTACTGAGCCTCTCCTCTTCCTTGTTGAGCTCCTCTGAGCTGTCCTTCTTGCTGGGGCCCATGCTGCCCTGGTAGGCTTGGGTCTGCTTGTTCTGCTCATCCACAGCTGGATGTAAAGGGGGGCACGACAGTGAGTCCTGGGCAGCCCCAGAGTCCTGTGTCCCCTCCCTGGGTCAGCCTTGTGGGCTGGTGCCAGGCAGGGCCCAGGATGGCACCTCTGCCCTGCGCTGGGGACATCCCTCAGCCACAACCAAGCACCAGAGAAGGGTTTATACCCTTGGATTGCACAGCACTGCTGCCACTCCAAGGTTTCAGATGGGGAAACCAAGGCACAAGTCCAGCACCAAGCTGCGGTGGCTCCGCAGCCCGTGCCAGGCTGTTGCAGCACCACGAGAGCTGCCTGCCCCTGCCACCCCCTCACCTTTCTCTGCCTGCTCAATGATTTGCCGCAGGGCTTTCTTCAGGCTGTTTGCCCGCAGCATGAGCTGCTCCTTGGATTTGAAGATGCGAGGCACAGGGCTGGGGTTGACGCTGCCACCCTTCTCCCGGTCCTTGGTGTCGGCAGGGGTGGCCTGCACCATTCCCTCAGGGATCACGATGGCCTGAGCCTCCTCATTCAGCTCCCGCACCAGTGAGTCCAGCTTCTCGTTCAGCATGGCGCACTGTGGGACGGCCACCACGCTCAGCACCCTGGCACAAACCTCTGCCCACCAACAGTACTGGATGCTTCCCCGGGCACCTGCAGCGCCCGGGCATCCCGAGCACGAGGGCAGCCCATCTTCACCTGGCCACCCCAAGCAGAACACGCCCCAGTGCGTGCACAGCAAGGGCACAGCCCACTGGAGCAGACCCCCTCCCAGCACCTCCACTGCCCAGGGGCTGTGCCACCCTCCACAGCCCACCCAACACGCCCCTGCCCTCCAGCTCCCCTGCAACCCACCTTCCGCGCCATCAGCTCGGCCTCCTGCTTGTTCTCTGTTGCCTTCTTGTAAGCCCGGCCGACTTCGGCCACAAAGTCGTTGACGGTGCCGCAGAGGAACCTGCCGAGGGAAGCAGCCGGTGGGTGGAGAGGGGCATGGTGCCAGCCGGGGGGGGTGCCGGGATAAGACCCCCCC